TTGGTCAGAGTTGCATTGGTTGGATACAATTTGCACAGGCACCCCCCCTTCTAGAATCAGGTAAAACTGATTCAGCCCATCTTTCGGACGACTGTACGTACATATTCTCGTTGTATCTCGGTGCAATGCCAATAAAGTTTATTCTGATTCTGAAACTCAAGGAAGGTCACGGCCCTCAGAGAAAACTTACCTTAATTTTAAGCATTAGGTCTAAATTTAGATAACATCTCTCCTCAAAGTTTAAGCTATTCTCATATTCAATTCAATTCAATTCAAAAATACTTTATTAATCCCAAAGGGAAATTATTTGTTGTTGTAACTCGTTATCCTCATTTCATTAAGAGATGTTATAGATGCTGATGCTGTAGACAGGAAGGATCTCTTGTAAAGCTCCATCCCACAGTGGATCCTAAGAAACTGGCAGCAGATGCCGTCCAATTCGTCCACCCAGACTTGGCTGGCCTCTCGGTTCCCCCGGGCTGTAGGACCACCTGAATGCTGGGCAGAACTCCTCCCAGTGCGATGGCCACTCCTCCCAGCAGTCTGCCGAGCTCCTCGTCGCTGCGGACAGCCAACTGTAGGTGCTGAGGGACGATCCTGTCCTTCTGCTGTCATGAGCCGTGTTTCCTGCTAGTTCCAGGATCTCAGTGGTCAGGCACTCGAGCACAGCTGGCAGGTTGCTCAGAATGCATCCACAGAGCCTCCTTTTCAATTCATTTGAGATTTGTGGCTGTAGTTGAGATTTCATTTGAGCTTTTGAGATGTTAATCAGCTTCTGGTTGTAGAAAACTGCCTTGTTGCCATGGTTACGCATCATAACAAATGTCCAAAACTAAAAAAGTTTCAGTAAAAATCCTTCCAGCTGCACAGCATCCGATACCAGAGGAAACAATCATCCAGAAAATGTGATTTACATCCAGAAAAAGAGGAATTAAAGTTTCCAAAAGCTAAACCTCAGAATGAAAGTAGCAGAGCTGCTCCAACATGCAGACACCTGGAGCGGAGCAGTTCTAGAATATTATTATTAGAATATTATCCACCTTTTCAAATAATACTATTGGTTATGCATTCATATTTCATGTTATTATTATTCAAACTTACAATAAATGTTACAGAACTGTGACTTTAACCAGCTGGGTTTTGTGAGTTTAATTCAAGTGAGGGGGATTACAACACTGTCAAGAATTCAGTTATTTTAATCAAAGTCGATCCACATTTATTATTTTGATTGCACACCTGTTAATAAGGTGCACAGACCTCTATTACTCCTCAAATCACTACAGCATCATCTGTGTATAATCTGACTCCTAATACATTCATTCATTCAACCTTTATTTCTACAGGTAAATCCCATTGAGCCTCGAGGACTCATTTACAAGAGAGACCTGAATTAATATAAATTACAGCGTCATCTGCATGGGACTGCAATAGTTTGGTGGTCAGTTTTGCGGTGTCGTAATCCATAGGCTGCAGGTTCAAGTCCAGATTGTGTCAGGAATTATATTAAGCATAAAAAGCCAACCCTAAATACAATGCATATCTGTTCAGCTGATGCTGTGCTTCTGTCAACTCACCATCAAAGAAAGTTATTTATCTCAGTCAGACAAGCTGGAGTGAACTAGTCCAAAACTCATCACAAACTCTGCATTCCTTTGCCTTGCCTTTGACGCCACCCCTTGGTTTCTGTTTTTAGGTAACCCCGAACAGGAAAATGAGGAGCTGAGGGTGATCATTAGGAAGATCTGGAAAAGAATGAAGCCAAAGCTTCTGGACGAAGTCATACCACCACATGAAGGTATGAACACTACATTCTGCAGGCTGTTCTGCAACGATACACTGCAGGGACTGTAGAACTCAGACCACAGCAGATCTGATCCTCTGAGCTGTTCTCTCTCTGCCTGCAGAAGAGGAAGTGACTGTCGGGAAGTTTTATGCAACATTCCTGATCCAGGATTATTTCAGGAAGTTCAGGAAGAGGAAAGAGAGGGGTGCTCTGACTGGAGAGTCTGACTCCACCAACCAGTCTGCTGTCCAGGTCTGTTTATTGTCCAGCTTCTCAAACCGCCCACTACCCCATTGATACTCATCTTCAAAGAGCAAGTTCATGATTTTTTTAATAATTTTTATGTTTAAATTGTGTCGAGGTTGCAGCTTACAATAGGAATGTGTCCATATCTGATATTGTGAAATCTAAACAAACAAACGAGCCTTTTCTGTAATAATTACCTCAAACAAACTGTGCACAGCACTCTGGGTGCTAGCTGTGATTATTCGGCAGCAATTCTTTGGATGATTCTTCAGCTGTGATTCTTCAGCTGTGATTCTTCGGCTGTGATTCTTCGGCTGTGATTCTTCGGCTGTGATTTGGTGTCACTCCATATATGGTCAACAGTGATGGGCTCTCTGCACATCAGCGTTTTTAAATGACACGTCTGCTTTTCATGTTTCGAGGTCATGGCCGAAGATGCCTTTAAGGACACGTGTGTTCTTGTCTTCCTGCAGCTCTGTAAAGCGGGTCTGAAGACTCTGCAGGATCTGGGTCCAGAGATGCGTCTGGCTCTGAACGAAGATCTGGAGGAGGAGGAGGAGGCCATGATGGAGGAGGAAGAAGAGGAGAACAATGCTCATAAGGTGCATGTGGAGTCTTCAACAGCTGAAGTTTGAGTCAACACGATGGAGGGTTAAAGGTAGTGTTGTGGTCAAGACCACCTAACCCGAGAGCAAGTCAAGACCAAGACCACAAATAAAATTAAAAAAATAAAAAAATTATTATAAAATATGTTTATAAAAGTTACATACTGCAACTTTAAGTTTGCTTTTGAATGAATACATCAGCTTTTATAAATTTTCAAAGCAAACATCACAAAGAGATCAGACATTCAGTGGCTTCACTTCATGAGATTCAACAATAAAATGACACAACTGTTAAATTGGAAACAGTTTCATCTCATGCCAAGTCTTAAAAAACTGAAGTGGCAAAACACTCTGCATAATTCCAAACTCAACACCAAGGATAATCATATAGTTGCATTAGTATATTCTTTGTGATTTAAACAAGCCAAATTTTATAACTGATGAATTGTGAGACATCTTCTCCCACACCCAGACAATCACTTCTCACTTTCTTTTAGAGTGACCAGTGTTGCCAGATAGAGTCAAGGTTTTCCAGCCCCAAAATCTGTTAAAAACTGCAGCATCACACAAAAATCTGCCCAATCAATACACAAACCAGATTCCAAAAAAGTTG